GCTCGCTGACCGGCGAGTCGGAGCCGCAGTCCCGTAGCCCCGAGTGCACCAACCCCAATCCGCTGGAGACGAAGAACATTGCCTTCTTCTCGACCAATTGCGTCGAGGGCACCGGCCGGGGCATTGTCATCAGCACCGGAGATCGAACCTTTATGGGTCGAATTGCGAACCTCGCTTCAGGGCTGGAAATGGGAGAGACGCCGATTGCGAGAGAGGTAAACATTTTTTTGGCTGAGGTTTTGTTTACCTTTTGTTTACGTTTCTATTTTGGCTTTTTCCTTTTTCGCAGATCGAGCACTTCATCCACATCATCACCGGCGTGGCCGTCTTCCTCGGCGTCACCTTCTTCGTCATCTCCTTCATCCTCGGCTACCACTGGCTGGACGCGGTCATCTTCCTCATCGGCATCATCGTCGCCAATGTTCCGGAGGGTCTGCTCGCTACGNCAAGAAGAACTGCCTGGTGAAGAACCTCGAGGCCGTCGAGACTCTGGGCTCCACCTCGACAATCTGCTCCGACAAGACCGGCACGCTGACGCAGAATCGAATGACCGTATCCCATCTCTGGTTCGACAACACCATCTTCGATGCGGACACCACCGAGGAGCAGACCCGATCTAGCTTCAACCGAACCGCCAAAACCTTCCGCCCCCTCTCTCTGGTCGCCCAACTCTGCTCCCGGGCCGAGTTTCTCCCCGGCCAAGATCACATTCCGGTGATGAAGCGCGAGTGCACCGGCGACGCCTCCGAGTCGGCCATCCTCAAGTCGATGGAGCTCATAGAAGGTCAGGTGATCACTTTTCGGGAGCAAAATCGAAAAGCCGCCGAGATTCCCTTCAACTCCACGAACAAGTACCACGTGACGGTCAATCAGATCAACGTCAACAACGCGGACCGCTACGGCGACGGCTCCAACTACGTCATCTGCATGAAGGGCGCCCCGGAACGAATCCTCGATCGCTGCGCCACCATCATGGTCAACGGTCAGGTGCAGAAGCTGAACGAGGAGTACGTGAAGAACTTCAACAAGGCCTACATGGAGCTAGGTGGGCTGGGAGAGCGCGTCATTGGCTTCTGCTTCCTCCCACTTCCGGCGAAGGACTACCCAATTGGAACCAGTTTCAACGTGGACGGCGACAAGGCCAACTTTCCCCTTGATGGGCTCACCTTTCTGGGGCTGATGTCGATGATTGATCCGCCGAGGTAAGCTGACTAGAATTTGGTTTGTTTACGTTTTGAGTTCTATTTCTATTTCGACCCTCCCCTCTGCAGAGCCGCCGTGCCCGACGCGGTCGCCAAGTGCCGCTCCGCCGGCATCAAGGTCATCATGGTCACCGGTGATCACCCGTAAGTTTTTTTGTTTATCATTTTTGTTTATCAACTCATTTAATTTCTCTGTTTTTTTATAGAATCACCGCCAAGGCCATCGCCAAATCAGTGGGCATCATCAGCGAGGGCACCGAAACCGTGGAGGACATTGCCGAGCGCCTGGGCGTTCCCGTCAGTCAAGTGGACCCTAGCGAGGCGAAGGCCATCGTCGTCAATGGAGCGCAGTTGAAGGTAAGGGTTTTTGAAAAAATTTTTGGGAGTTTTTGTATTTAAAAATGTTTTGAACTTTTCTCGTAGGACATGGCCACCGAAGAGCTGGACCACATTCTGGCGACGCACACCGAGGTCGTCTTTGCCCGTACCTCGCCGCAGCAGAAGCTGGTCATTGTGGAGTCGAATCAGCGAGCAGGTTTGTTTCAATTCTTTTCAAGACTTTAAAAATTTTAAAAATTTTAACCTTTTTTAGGCCAAATCGTCGCCGTCACCGGCGACGGCGTCAACGACTCACCGGCCCTCAAGCGCGCCGATATTGGAATTGCCATGGGCATCGCCGGCTCCGACGTCTCGAAGCAGGCCG